CTGTGTATAGAATAGCGTTAACAAAATGTTCTCATTTCTTTCAATTAAAATGTTATGAAATACAAACAGATAAATGAATCTTTGAAACAGATAAAATGAATCCCTATTCCCCGTAACAAATAAAAATGAATCTTTACTTTTCATAACAACCTAGGAGAGAACACTAAAAAAATAGCATGAGGTATTCCAGAATAATCTGTTTAGTTTCACCAGTGTCTGCACAAGTACATTTTTGCCAATCACAACCAAATATTTATAGAAGGTCCACTGCTACATAAGATAGGTCTTAAGTGTATTATAGGTATTACAGAATGTAAACAGCCTATGCCTTCAAGTCGACACAAGAAAAGAGGAAAAAAATCATTAATTTATTACTAAACAATTCCAAAGTGATATGTGTGTTAGAGAGAAAAGTCCAAGTTTATGTGCAGAGCTTCCAGGACAGGCACCACAAATACAGAAAAATTTCCAGGAAATGAGAGATCAGATGTAACACTGTAGGAAGCTTGCAGGGAACAAGCTTCCAACCTGGATTAGAAAAGAAGAAAAACAAAAGAAACAAACAAAAGCCTCTCCACAACAAGGCCAAGTGAACAAATTCAAAGCAGACTCTTTAAACATTTTCTTGGGCCACTGGATGTCTCCCTTCAAGACAATGTTACACACAATCTTGATAGTTCATTCCCTGTCAAATAATTTTCCTATATGTAGCTATTTTTATAAATGAATAAAGAATGTTATTTTGTTTTTAAAGAAACAATCTTCAGACTGATAGAATTCTTGCTAATTTATATGGTGGCATACCCAAGATACACATAGGAATAGGATGGGCAGTATCATTTGCAATGAATCTGTGTCAGGATCTCACAATGTCTATCCCCCCTCGCTCAATAAGATGCCTCATATATATTTATGAAAATTCCACTATCTTAATTATTTAGCAAGGTTTCATATGATATAATTTATTAAATCACATTTAAAGTATACTTAATGTTATAAAACATTTAGATGTGATATTTCTATATTTATACCCTGATGTAATTTCCCATTGTATTTATACCCTGACATAATTTATCATTTTATAAAACTAACATAAATTATTGAACAGTAAATATTCTCAATTCTAGATACATTTTTAAGGTCTTTTTTTTTTTT